TGGATTGGGTTCCATTCTTTCATGAGGCAAAAGTAAATAGGTCACTAATGGTGTACAAACGATTGTTCACCTTATATGTCCCAAATGCTCGTAAGAAATGCAGACATAAATGAAAAATCAAGCAGACATGGACAACTAAACCTCGTCTGTCCCCGATTCAAACGGGAGTCAGAGGGAGGTAGGTCTTTCACAGTATCGACCGCACGCCTCTGGAATACCTTACCACTGGACGTAAGAATGAAACCTACTATCAAATGTTTTAAGAAGGCCATGTTAGATTTTTTTAAGAATAGTTATAAACGATTAGAACATTTTATCTTATAGTTTTTATAAACTTTGTAATTTTAGATTTTTAGCTCTTGATCTTTTTCCACAATTAATTAGTTTTTAATCCTTTTCAATGATTATTTGTAATATATTTCAAGAGGGCCACTGGTTTGTCAGTTTTATACTGTTATGTGTTTTACCCTCTTTAAATAAAGTTGATTATTATTATTATTATTATTATTATTATGGATGCACGCGGGAGATTGCTAAGCATGAAAGAAACGTAAGAGTCGCGCAAGGCGAAGCCGAGAGCGACTCTAGCTTCTTGAGTGCATAGCAAACCTCCCAAGTGCATCCACAACTCAATAGTGTACGCTGTGGTGTTTACCATTTGTTTTATACCATAACATCAATACACTGTAGCCATAGAATTTCCCTTTTATTGAACCAAAAATGTTCGTGTAGTCTTACCTGACCAAACAAAACAAGCGCGCGAAAACTAGGCATTGCACGGGTTCACTCGTCAAGTTAATCGAAGACAAATGTGATCATGTTTACTAAAATTCATGAAGAAAAACTCTTTCTGAGCTTTGTATCTACATTCAATCGTAATTTTTCAATCATGAGCGAAGTTTCCGACGAAAGTAAAAAACCGTCCTCAAATGTCATTTAAAAATTGACTCTATATAGGAGGAAGAACTGTTGAAAACAATTTGCACGATTTGAATACTACAGTCGCCGAAAAGCGATTTCGTTGCCACTTGTTTGGTCTGGAACGACATGAATTGCTGAGAAACTTCTGATGGCTGGCTGTGGTTATTGGTGGAGGAAGAAAAGGCTCTCGATAAGACTTGACTGCAGTTGTGCAGTTGTGATGTCGACGGAAGAGAGTTGTAGCTCACCAGAGACTGTTCACTGCGGTGTCCTGAAATGGCCATGATGTGGGGGTTTGAAATCCCAGCGTTGGACCAGAGAGTGATGGCAGTAGCTCTTACACAATGTTTTGTGTAAACTTTGGATAAACGCGCTTCTTCGCTGATATGTTCATCATTTTAGCGATCGAGGCTGTGTATTCCAAGCGGTCGTACTTCGCACCAAACTGCATCTTCGGCTGTGCTGTTTTTCTTCGGATACTGGAAAAAGGCAGTGCACTTTGGATTGACTTTCTGCAGGTATAGCTTCAGCGCCTTGTAGCTGTCACCCTGATCTTGTGTTTCATACACTCTTGCTTCTTTTTCTGTGCTCTCTGCATCGTTCAATCCTCCAGGATGATTCTTTGACATTTCATCGTGGCTCATTGTTGCGTACCTTTGTCCAGCCGCATCGATTTCAAACCTGAAGCTCTTCGTTGTCAAGCTTCTTTGACCTTCGCGGCCCCTTCGGCAAAAAAAAAAAGGACAACATGAAACCAAACGTTCCTCAGCAGGGAAAGTGGTTGACACAATGAAAAACTTTGCTGGATTTCAACTTCTGGAGGTCTTCCTCTTCGATAGCAGGTTTGTGTGTGACATATTCTTTGCTGCTTTGCTTAAGGCTTCTTATTTCTGCATCTAGCATCAAGTTTGATCTTGAAAATCTCGAATCAGTAAAAATTTTTAGGCTTCTGTTTAAAGGAGGGGCATTGAGATATCTTTCCATTGAGTGACAGAATCCCATTAAGGATGACTTGCTGTAATCTTCGCCCTTTTTCGTTTTGGCTTCTGCAGAGAACGTTCGCAGGTTTTGATCCAGCTGGTCGATACTCATCTCCTCAAGCGGGGTTTGAATTTTTTTTTGTGTAAACCAAGCTGAAATTAACAGAAAGGGAAACGGTCTATCAAAATTCTCGTTTTTAAATACCTTAAATTTTCAATTTATTTTAACCTCTAATCATCGTAAACGCTCTTTAACAAAGGCAATTTAAAAGGTTTCGTCAAGATTGTTTACGTACAGCATTAAATGGGGTTCCACGGTTACAAACATTTTACTCATTGGTAAAGGCTTCAGGAACTAATTTATTCTTATTTTTAGCTTTATTGAAGCCTATTTAGAAGTGAAATTTAGGAGGAAAAGTGAAATGAAATTTAGAAGGAAAAGTGAAGTGAAATTTAGAAGGAAATAAGAAATCAAATAATTTAAAGGATGGCATTTCTGTGTCATTTTCCCGAAATTTCGAAGACATTTCCACATTTCCGGCAGAAGAGACTCCAGCCATTATTTAAAGAAACAGTTTCCTACGAAACATTTGCTCACTTGAAAACATTTGCTCACGTCAGCAGCGTACACCCATGGGCAAATGGTGTACGCTGAATTGACTAGGCAGAGCGTGCGCTTTACTTTAGCTGTGTTATGATTCAAGATAGCTTTGCTTTCTACGTCAGCATACGACTGTTCATACTGTTTTATTACTCCTAAGAGTCTCAGTTCGACCACAAAAAGTTTTCATTCAATTCCTTCATTGAAACTTCGTTTACATGACCAGCCCGTTATCTTTTTCGTGGAACTAACCGGACCACGTAAGTGACACAGAAAGCTCGGTGATAACCAGTCAGTAATACGTTAGAGGACAGTATGCGAACAGTCAGTGGAGGTGTTCTCAATTTTTACCCAATTTTTTTGCTACTGTACTAGAGCACCCCCGCGTGCGCCAAGCACGTGTAACAGCAATGAAATTACACGCTCTTCGGAGCATGTTGTAACGCACATGCAGTAGAAAAACTACACGCATGCGGAGGTTTACATGCAAATCCGTGTATTTCAATTCGTCTTTTGTCACTCACTGCACGCGTTTAATGTCGGAGTTCGCGGCAAGGTCCAACTTGATCCGCATTGGGTGCTTAAAAAAGAATATTTCCTGCAGCCAGCATCAACGAGTCCAGTAGCCGGGGCGATTATTGAAGAGCCATGGACGAGCATTTGGGGCGACCGAGTTGCGCAAAGAGGGCAACATCCACAGTATTTCTCCACGGATAGTGTCTAGAATATAGCGGATACGAATGCACTGACTCAATCAAGCTCATCGAAAATCTACGATGAATTGTAAATCTGATCTTTTTGCCTTATTTCATGCTCTTTTGTCTCAGTATACGCAGTTAACGAGTTCCGATTGTGTAACTAACACGAAACTCGCACTCACATGCGTGTATCATTGTTACACGCAGGCGCGTGTAGTGACCCACAGTTTGCGTGTTGCGCACACCCATTCCTCGTGATTTCCATGTTTGTTAGCATGAGCAATGTTGCAGTACACGCAAGCGGCACTGTATAATTCCTTGTCGTTCTCAACCTCCACCTCAAATCCAAATCATGAAGAAAATGCTGGCTGCTTCCATAGTTTTAAAGGGTCATCTATTAAGACATTTTTCAATGCCTTTTTATACTTTGGGTGCAACTTACAACTTTCAAGGACACATCTGAATATACAGTCTATCTACTATGAAAGTACAACCAAAACACTTACCCTTACCATATGAAATACCACTATGTATAAAAGAAACAATATAAGTATGGGTGTGAGACTCAACAAATACATGTACACTTTAAAACAGACTGAAAATACCGAACAGCGAAAGTCACTAGGTCTAGTGAGAACAAACAATGAATAATGATGTAATGTATATGTTCTTACACTGCACATCAATGAACATCGTTGTTCAATCATTTCCTCAAGTGTTTTTTGCAAAGCATCTGTATTCTCCACTCTGATTTCTCCTGATATCAGTAATGTTCAACAGCTTTCCGTACCAGACCATACTGGTATTAACTTTGGTCCAAAAAAATGTTAGGGGAGGAGTCCCTGCAGTCACTTTATACTTCTTGATTGCATTTCTACCTTCCGCGACTGTTATATTTTTTATCTGTTCCCCGGTGGGTATCCCTAAAGGAGATAAATTTAGGCAAGTCGTAAATACTTTTTTTTTTCCTCTTTATACTTTTTTATTAACAAAACCCAAACGCAATACATACCAATGCAACTTTATATCCAAAACCCATTTAAAACCTTTTACGATACTCGAAAACATTGGTTTATATTTTTTGTAACTTGGATGAGAAATACAAAGTTTCACTTTTGTTACCTATACAATGCATCAAAATTTTAATGATTTGTTTATTAACACATGGAAGTCTTACCTTTCTTAGAAAAAGAAACAACGTTTGTACTTGTGATATTGTCAACTTGCTGATATGCTTGACATTTGTAAACAAATGTTTCTCCTCGTGAAATTTTCTCTATCCATGTTCCTTTTTTGCTAAAGCTGACCTCGGTTTCATTTCGTAGGAGCACATAGTTATCAACTGGCGGATTAGCTTAAAATTTAAAATTTAAAGTTTAAAATTCCTCTTGGGTATAGCAAGTTGAAGTGTCAGTTATTTCTCCTCATAGCACGTCCTTCTACAAGACATACATGTCCCCCACATATTCTAATCCCCCTTTTTGATTTGTAAAAAATAGCAGAAAGGAGTGATGTCAGAAGGGTCCATGCAGGCAATCAAATACTCGAAATGCATGTCATTTATGCAAAATTCTAACTACTTAGTATCTGAGACAGAGAATTACACCTTTTCACCATTCTTTCCACAATTTCTGTCTATGTGCGTAACAGCCTTTCAGTTTCCAATTAAACTTTACTTAATAAGCAAATAAGCCTTGACTGTGCTCTGGTCTGTTGTAAAGCACGCGAAGAAGCGGCCAGAGCACGAAAGAAGTGAAGACTGAAACTCAAGACGTATTCGAGTGTTTCTCCCCACTTCTCAATTGACTGCTCTCGCCGCTTCCTTCCTTCCGTCTAATTCCCTTCGCATTATTTTCTATTTACAAAACAAATGTTAAGTTTCGAAGCGCACAAAAGTGTCGTCAGCATGTTTTATACTCTCATAAAACACGCCAGAAGAAGACAATGAGAATCCATGTTAGAACGGTGCAAATAATCTGATTGGTTGAATAGGACCAAAGTTGTCAAAAATGTTAAATCATCAAGGTTGAGACACCATCAGAGATCCAAATCTGCAATAATTCGCAAATTGAAGTAGTTCGGCAGGTCAAATTACATACATACATATACATACATACATACGTTTACACAAAGCATTTGAAAACAAAGATAAATGTTCAAAGAATGCTTTAAAAAGGGAGTTTAGAAGGTTGGCCCTATGTAAAAATCTCCGAAAAGAAAAAATCTTTAAAAATATTCTAATATTAAGATTCTAATACTACGAAATATTTAAAAATTAACCTAAGGAACGCTTAAAACATGCAAGATTTCCCGCCCCTACAACCCACTCAGGTAAATCGTTCCATTCTTTTACAATTCTCAGAAAAAATGAATATTTGTAACAATTACAACTGGATGCTTGAAACCTCAGCTTGTAATTATGGTTACTTCTTATTCGATTTGACACTAACTGGAAAGTCTTGAAATTCGAGATTACTGAGAGAAAATATTCATTTATAACATTCGATCAGAGAAAAATACAGTCTTCGATTCTTTAATGGTGACCACTTTAAAATGGAGCAACGTTCCTCGTTGTCCATTTCGCCTCTCTTTTGGCCAAGAGCCAGTCTCGACTTTTTGCTTGTAATTAAGATTACTTCTTGTTCGATTTGACGCTAACTGGAAAAAGTCTTGGAATTCGAGATTACTGAGAGAAAATATACATTTATAACATTCGATCAGAGAAAAATACAGTCTTCGATTCTTTAATGGTGACCACTTTAAAATGGAGCAACGTTCCTCGTAGTCCATTTCGCCTCTCTTTTGGCCAAGAGCCAGTCTCGACGCTCTTCTCTGGACTTTTTCCAGCAAAACAATGTCTTTTACCAGAAAGGGACACCACACTGGAACCCCATACTCTAGTATCGGCCTTACTAAAGATTTTTAAAGCAAGAAAATTCATTTACACTATTAGACCCAAGCACGGGCTTAATTACCCCAAGGACTTTGTTGGCTTTGTTGACCACCTCATGAATATGATCACTCCATGGTAGATCGAACAATATTGTAATACCGATATCTTTGATATTTTTCACATTCAGTGAAACTCGGTTGAATTGGGACTCATAAGAACACGCAAGTATCGCTTCACATGTAAATTAGGAAACAAACAACTCAAGGTCTGTTTTATGAACAAACGACCGCCGAATTCACAGGAAAATGGTGATTGCTCGGAGTGGCTGCGCCGTAAAACTCGGCTGCTGTTTCTGATGTGGCCTTCAACTCATGGTCACTCAAAGCATCGTAACGAACATCAGAGCAAGCCCTCAGTTGTTCACTAGGAAGGGTGGTCCATGTAATTTCTGAGGCTTAGTTCAATCCAATGACCAGAGACTGCCATGATGAGCTGCCTGCGTTCTGTTCGTCCTTCGTTTTAAAAGATCTTTCCAGCAAACTAACATCTCGTTCAGTTTTTTATGAAGTGTTTTTGTTTTCTTGTTCTAAAATAAATTATTTCACAAAGCACACAGAAGTAAACCTTCCCTTAGCAATTTTTAATAGCACATGTTCTTTTTTTTATATGTATGTGTGTGTGTGCAATAGCTGTCGGATGATGTTCCCTCCACTACGCTCATTCACCGCTACTGAAATTTCGTCGTTCGCGTTGTTAATTGGACTGACATTTTCGTGGATGGATCTTAGTGCCTATAAAAGAATTCAAGTAATTTGAAGCTCACATTGTAAAGATGGGGCTAACTTACATCTTACAATCACTTTCACAGTCTGATTGACAGGTTCTCCAACACCATTGAAAGCTGTACAGCGGTATATTCCATTAAAGCCTCTGCCAATATTATCCATGACAAAATATCCATCCTTAGATTGCAGTGCTCCACTGTCAGTACCATTTCCCCACACTCTTGTCCAAGTAATATTTGGTTCTGGTTTACCAGTTGCATTGCAACTCAAAGTTACCTTTGTGTCCTCACAAACATCTTTGTCAGTTGTCACGCCAACAATTCTAGTGCGTTCTACGAGTAATTGTATGATAAAATGGACTGAGATAGATGAAAGGGAAAAAAATCATTAAAAAAAATTTACAATCATAGTCATTATTTTACAATTCTGGGCACAAAATACTAAAAAATAATCTATTTTGTATATATAAACAACGGAAGAGTTGAGAAGGGTGAGAGAGCAAACTACCGAAAATAACCTCCTTTGTCTGGTAACAACTTACAATCCCAACAATCCACAAGTATTTCAGCTGGTCAGGAAAATACTTTTAATGTTGAACCAAAACTCCTCATTAAAATCCATTATGAGCAAGACTAAAAGTAATTCACAGTCAGCGACAACCCAGAAACCTAGAACGGATGTTAACAAACTCTTATTTCTCCAAGCAAAAGGACACTGATCCGGAAGTTAAAATTTGTGAAACAAAACGTTGCGGAACATGCCCCTATTTAAAACAGGGTAAAGAATTCACCTTTTCCACCACGAATGAAACATTTCGGATAAAACACTCGATGAACTGCACCTCGAAAAACTTGATTTACGTAATAACATGTGCAGGATGTGGACATAATAACGAGCTTAAGATCCAACGACGGCAGACATCTGGGACGGCAAGCGGAAGTGAAGTTATTGCCAGAATTACTTTCGGCGGCCGTCGTTCTGAGGTTTCCCGCCGTAGCGGCCTCGTCTGTGACGCGAAGAAAGCCATTTTGCCGTCGCGGCTAAAACGTGAGTAAACTTTAGCAAAATAACGCCATTTTAACTTACTTTGGGCGAAAATTGTTGGCAATTTTAACAGTTTATCGTTATGAGAGGATGTCTGTGAAATGGCTGAGCAAAAATAAACGATTTGTTCGAGGAAATTTTAAATAATTCGTTTGCCTTTCTCATAAATAGTTCGTCACTAATACTAGCTCTATGTCAACAAAGAAATCAACCTAGTAAGTTTTACAATTTCACCATTTCTCTTTATTTCGATGGAAAATTCATAGACTTGTTCGGACATATATTGATGGCCATGATATTATTCCAGAAGTCTTTTCTGGAGTCTAACCGACCACTATGGTTCATCTGAGAAAATTTTCATGGTCAACAGTTTCGGTAATGTTTTTCAGCCATAAAAACGTCCTTGATTAAGCGTGTAAAGTTTGCTTCTGGAAATTGGTTTAACATTTATCATCATGATAAGATTATACCTGTATTATGCTGCTTTGTATACATGTCTATGCTGTGATTCAGACTTTTCCTGTGTTTGAAAGGGTCACTGTACCAACGAGGGTACGCTAATCTTCTCAACAAAAGACAAAGGAATTCAATTCCATCGCATACGGTCCCTTGTTCACATGTATACGAATCAAGCAGCCACATTACGTCTGCGAGAATAGGTATGTCCCTTTTTCGAACAAAATTCTGCCAAGCACTCACTTCCGTCGAGTCCTTACAAGTCAAAATGTTTGAATTCTGGTAGGGCTAATCGAGATTCTTTGAAACGTTGGCATCATTCAACAGTAAAAATTCATCTTCCGAATGTCACCATCATCGCAACTTGCAATCAACAATCCACGAACCTTTCTATAGGTAGCCATTGCTTTTCCTAAACTTCGAAGAGCAAAGCGAGTCAAGCCGCCGTCGCGCGCATTATCTTAAAGCTATTAGCCAGATTTAGCAAGAGGACGGGAACGTCAGTTGACAACGGCGCGCGCAGCAAAAATACCGGTAAGAAACTGGGTCGAGAACGTCGGCACGTTGTGTTTCAGAAGTGATTTAGCAGTCGTTGCAACGAGACGTTAGCGCAATATCTGTTCTTCAATAGCCTAAACTCGGCTTTTCAAAGATCGCCAACGCAAATTTTCGGTTTCACAAATAGCTTTAAGGACAACGAAACTATCTTCTTTGAGAGTTATGCAACAAGCGCAAACAGAGGATAATTATAGTTACGGAAAGTTAGATTTTTATAATATACGAACCACATGGGCGATTAAACTCTATAATTGATTCATTCGATTCCAGATAAGACTCGTGTCTTTTGCTTCATCTGTCGAATTTTACAGCCCATTAGATATTTTTTTTCTGCGATTTGTGTTGCTGTCATTTCGTTTCGTGCCATTAAATTTACAAATGCTCATCTTTCTTTGCAATTTTACAAAGTATAATTTGGAAATCATCATCGTTTTTCCCCTAGTTTACTGAATATTTTTATTCATTCATGACAGTACATCTCTTTTCAACATTGAATACTTAGAGGTGCAATGCATTTTGAACGGGGTTATGGCGAAACCATGTAGAAACCAAGCGACCCAACGACAAAGATGTTTATGATGAGTTCTTGTTTAACGCTGAAAGAATTAATTGAACTCAAACAAGTCACCCATGAAACGGTTAGGCTTAGGATAAGACTTTGTTTCGGTTTTTTGATTCTTTGTTTTGTTTTGTTTCTTCTTTTTTCGACGAAGTTGTTCAAGATTGAATTAAATTACTTGTTTTAGAAAGTCGTGTCGAAATAAAATTGACTGTCATTTTCTTTTTTTGCGTGAGCACGACTTTCTGGTTTTCATCGGCGCTGATTAAAAAAGTTCAAGACATAAAAAAGTGCAACCCGAGCAAATTCTCAAATTGTTTATCTCTGACCTCAATCCACAAAGCATTCATTCATGATCAGTAAAAACGACAACGACAACAAAAACATAAAAAAATTTTACGGTATGTAAGCTTCGTGATAGTTCATTTGATTGACTGCTCCAAACCTCAACATGCAGCTTGGTTATTGATAAATCTATTTACGACAAAATTCAACAGCCGAGCATCCCATTCTTAGAGTTTTCACATACGCTTAAAGAAATGTATTAAAGAAAAGCCCTTTTATTTTCTAAAGCCTTGCTCATTCAAAAGCAAACTGAGTCCTGAAATCTTGGATCGCTTGTGTTCCACTTTCCTTTCGAGACTCCAGCATATTGAAGCGGCAACTTTTCAGAAATACACCAATTAAAACAAAGGAAGGGACCCAATTATCCTGAACATGAGTTTTGAAATACTTCCAAACAGTATTATGTCATTTGGATCGATTTACAAGTGCACAATTGACGGAAATCCCACACGTTCTGATCGCGACGGGAAAACCAGCGAAGTGACGTCCTAAGCTAGTTTGGGAGAACGGCAACGCTAACACTGGAAGTCGAATGGTGTCGTGTGCAGACTATTCCGTGCGCTCTCCCGTTCTCCTGCTAAATCTCTCTATTTTTCGTGCCATTGCAACGGCGACCTCTCCCCAAGCCCCCTCGCCCAAGTCTGCCGTCCCAGATGTCTGCCGTCGTCGGATCTTAAGCTCATTAATTATATAGGAGAAACGGGTGATGTCCTGAGAAATAAAGTGACAGTTCACAAACGACAAATTAGTGACCCGCACACACGTATGCTGGGAGTCAGCAAGTTAGAACAGTTAGCTCAATGGATAGAGCGCTGGAATATTATGTGGCAGGTCGAGGGTTCAAGCCCCGGCCGGACCAACACTCTTAAAATAAAGTCAATAAACACACTTTGCTATGCTTGAAGAGTCGCAACAGCGGTGAAACGCGTAGCGAAAAAGCAAAAAAAAAGAGGACTTTCGTTTTCCATTTGTTTTAGTATCTTTATTCGACATAGAAGTATCTTTATTCGACATAGACAGTTTCTTTCTATATATATATATATAAAGCTCATCACCTTAGGTGTGATTTCAGCACTCTTGCATAGCAAGGTGTCTGCACTTGTTCCCACAAGTGTAGCGGCCAGGCAATGGTAAAAAGCTAGTCTTTATCCCACAGCTTGCCTCAGTGTCTGCACTGCACTGATGAGACCCAAATAGTCTCCAAATATGCGTTTTGCTTCTTCGTTGATTAAATCAGCCGTATTGACATTCGATTTCTGTAGGAAGTGGTGATGCACCAACCTTAGTCCCGCAGACTGCACCGAACACATCGCTACGAAACAGGCCTTCATCTCGTTAAAGGACCACAAAGACAACTTCGCTAATAAACCAACATGCCAGCTAATTAACCCCGCTAAAAGTGACTAAGGCCAAATCAACAAGTCTATCCTAGACAAGATTAACAACAGCATCCGAAGTAAAACATCTCTCAACCAATGGAAAAATTCTTCAGAAGTCATCAACTGGCTCTAACACATCCCCGACAAAAACAATAACTCCTTCATTATATTCGACATCGACAACTTCTACCCGTCTATATCTGAAACCCTCCTACTAGATGATATCAACTTCGCTAAAACCTATCACAACATAACGCCTCAAGATACCGAAATCATCATGCACTGCAGAAAATCACTACTCCTCGACAAAGACTCCCCCTGGGAAAAGAAAAATAACGACTCCTTATTTGACGTAACCATGGGCAGTTACGACGTCGCTGAGATATGTGATCTCGTCGGCCTGTTCATCCTCAACTCTCTGAGCTCGACTTCTAACAACTGCGACATAGGACTGTACAGAGACGACGGACTCGCATTACAAAAAAACGCCCCAGGACCTCAAGCAGAACGAACCAGGAAGAAATTGATCAGTCTCTTTAAACAACACGGCCTCGCCATCTCCATCCAAACTAACCTGAAAACAGTCAATTTCCTAGACATCACGCTTAACCTCGAATCTGGTACATACCATCCTTACCGCAAGCCGAACAATGAACCCCTCTACATCAAGACGAAATCCAACCCCCCGCCGCCCATAATCGCCCACCTACCCGAGTCAGTAAACTGACGACTTTCCGTCAACTCATGTAATAGAGAAGTATTCGATTATGCCAAACCTCTATACGAGTCTGCGCTAAAAGCAAGTGGATACCACACCAAACTAGAATTCCGCGACTACCAAGAACCCACAGCCAACACCCGCAAGAACAGAAACCGGAAAACAATATGGTTCAACCCTCCCTTCAGTAAGAACGTCTAGACAAACATCGCAGGAAAATTCCTATCCCTAATCCAAAAACACTTCCCGAAATCGCACCACTACTCCAAAATT